GGAATTAAACTCCCCATCAGTTGTAAAACCTGAACAATGACAACAAACAGCATGTACATTGGTCTGTTCTGTCCTAAGCAAAATAATCTAGTATGGGAAAAAATAACAAACCATTTGAAATGTTCCAACTGAAGACAGAAATAGACAAAAGTCACTAACACAACTCAACCAAAGACCTAAGACCTGATAAACACAGTAAAAATTAGAAAGATTATTGTTTTTACAGGTGCATTTAAATCTGGAAACAAATTACATTAATAATCATAATATTAATAATAATAGTAATAATAATAATAGTAATAAAAAAAGATATTGATTTTTAGGTCACTAAACTTCATTTATTTATTTAGCTTTTAATACGTCTGGAGAGATTATTTATTCCTACACGTAGTAATAACATTATGGCATACATAAGTTCTTACAACCGTCATGATGATGATGATGATGATGATTATGATGATGATGATGATTATGATGATGATGATGATGATGATAATAATAACAATGAAAATAAGAAGAAACAGAGCAACTGTAATGCATACCCACAATGGTCATGCCAGCATTTCTCATAGCTTCCTACATCATAGATCCTGTTGCCTAGTAAGATTCCTTGAACAATTATCTGGTACACCCACGCCTGACTCAGGGGACTGCTTTTTACAGAAATATCCACATTGGATGAATAAAACAATTTGTTAAACAAAAGGGCAGTAAGTGTACATGAGTTGCTTCCTGTTCTGCCAAGAACTGTTGACTGTAAAATAGTGCTCAGAAAGAACCAGAAAGTGACATTGCCATGTTGTTGTGGTTGGGTAGACTGGTTTTTTTTTTCTTTTTTAAAAAGAAAAACTTTTTTTAAAAAAATGCAATAGATTTATCTAGCAACCTTTGTGACATTACCTGTGTAAAAGTATAGAATCCCAAAAGAAAGGGTTTCCAAATCTCCACAAAAATAGTGGGTTAATAAGGGGAAAGGAAGCGTGAGGGTGGCAAGTATTCAAAGTGTGAGTTGATGAAAATAAAATGTTAGTTGTTCAATAGAGAATTTGTACAGAGGGACCTACAAACTGCAAGCCAGTTATGTCAGTCATAAGGCAGCATTCAAATAAAAACTATCAGTAGTTCAATTGGGTACTAGCATTGAGGGTCCACACTTTCACACTTTTATTTTATTTTCTTATATATCTACAAGGTATTCCTTTGACCTGCAGATCGTAGGTCAAATTTTTCTTAACTTAATATAATTACACTGGAAATAAGATGAAAATAAAGAATAACAATGCAAAAAAAAGACAAAAAGATGAACAAGAAAAAAAAGGAAAATGAAAGATTTTCATTGTAAAGGACTCCATAAAGGAATCTTTAGTCTCTAGGAAATTAGAAACCCCTTTTTGCTTGTTTGTTTGGTTTTTCTTTTTAAAGATTTCTGTGACAAATTTGTATATTCATTATTTTTATATTAAATTTGCAGGGCATCCATTTCAAGGCAGTGATGAAACAAGATGAGAAAGTCATAATCAGAGGAAAAGGAATGAGGGAGATGAGTAACATGTTGGTTAGTATTAATGTGGGTGGTAAAAGGAAGGGACGAGGTTAGGTATAGGGAGCCAAAAAACGTTTCTGGGGGTTAAAAATATTTTGAACTGAATATTTTGATTGATATGATGTGGGTGGGAGTTAAGGATGGGTTGGTCTGAGTTGGTTTTGATTGACAATTGGGTTAAGGTAAATGATTGATCAAAATTACTGGTATCTGTCTTGAATTTGAATGGTAATAATAACAGACACAAAATTAAATTCCAAAATAATTTAATGTTATGAAAACTTAACTAAGCTATTTTGACAACACAGTAAGTAATGGAACCATTGCAAGATATCAATGAGGGAAAAATTCCTTCTCTCCAATATTAGCTTGATTAAAATAGTGGAAGTTTACCTGATAGATATTTAACATTGGTTAACAAATAAATGGCTTCTTGTTTCGTAATTTTTACAATCCTAGAGTCTCTTTCCTAGATTTAAATCAAAACAAAACCAAATGTATGATTTTGAGTCAACATAGTTCACAACGAAATCCATCTGTTATCGCCATACCTCAGTCTCCTTCGGCACTTCTGTAAAATTTTATTTCACAGGCGTCACACCACGTGCTCCCTGATTTATGTGTCGCTTTCTTTCTTCCCTGTATGTCCAAAATTTCGAAAAGGCTTACAGGAATTAAGTTTAATTAATTGGAATGTCGGTCGGAAAACGGCGATGAGCAGCAACTATCCTGCTTCACGATCGTGCGACGATGATGTAAACAAACTGGAGTTTCTTCAGGCACGTTCATAGCTCTTGCCAAACCAAGACGCAGGGGCTTAGAAGTACCGTTAAAAGCTTCTTTACTGCTCCTTGTTTTACCGACGATCCAACATTTTGCATGAACGGACGAAAAAGTGGTCAGAAAAAGCTAACGCGACAATGTCCACGTTGCCGCAAATTGCATCTGATGCCCAATATATTCTGTACGATTTACCGCCGTCACAACAGAGGGTAGACTGGGCTTGACTCATCCATCAGACTGTTAAGGATACTCAAACGATTGACTGAACTTGAATCGTTCATCAGACTTGCCGAAGTCACAACTGTTGTATTCTGTCCGTAACTACGTCTCTTTAATCACATATAAGATAACTAATAACAAACGAATTCAATCGACCTCTCTCGCTCGTCGCTCCACGTGTCATTACCTCATCAGGTCATGTGACCGACACAACATTCCTTCTTTTCTGAACAGAAAAAAGAAAAACTTAATCTTAAACTAGATCATACGATCAACGCAACTGCAACTATGTCCAGAGTTTTTTTTTTTTTT